ATATAAAAAAAAAAAAAAGTAAAAAAAAAAAAAAAAAAAAGATATAAATAATATTTTCATAAATATATATATATATATATATATATATATATATATATATATATATATATTTTATAGATGTTATTATTGAAATATTATTAAATAAAAAAAAACCAGAGATACCCAATTGGTTTCATCCTGATCTTCTAAGTTTATTAGAAAGAAGTTTTTCTACAGATCCTAATAGAAGACCTTCATGTAATGAATATCTAAAATTACTTCTAAAGTTTTCATCAAAAAAAATAAAAAGGAGTCAAGACATAGTTTAAAAATATCTCATTGAGGAAATTATTAGAATAAATCATATTAAATATAATATGACTAGATTTATCACTTTCCTTTTATATGGAGAAAAAATTATTTTCATAATATAAAAAAGATTTTTTTTTTTTTTTTTTTACATAGATTAATAATATATTTCTACATTAATTTGGTAAACTTAAATATATTTAAAATATTAATGTATAAAAGAAATTACAGTAATTTAAAGATTATTTTAAATGTTTTAAATATTTCTTTCTTTTTTTTTTTTTTTTTATATTTTAGGGACATTTAAATTTAGCATAATAATTTTAAGAGAAAAAGAGAGTTTAAGGAGATTTTAAATTAAAAAGAATTTTTTTAAGGGTACAAAAGTTCATCTATATTTAAGTACAGTATATAAATTTTAGTTAGGAAGTTATTTTATTTTATTTGGATTGAATAAAAAAAAAGAAAAACAAAAATTAGCACACATACAAAAATAAATAAATTCCTAAATATAGTATATTAAATTCTCATTAGGTATATAAAAAGAAAATGTTAAAAAAAACATAAAAAATGTGTACACATATTAAAAATTAAGAATTAATAATTAGAAAATTACATTTTTTTAATATTCCAAGTAAATAAAAAATAATAAAGAAATAACTAGTAAATAAATATAAAAAAAAAAATATTTTTAAAACTAATAGTTTATTTCTTTCATTTTTTATAAAATAATTAAAAAAAGGTATAAAATTCAATATATGGATTAACATATTAAAAATCATTAATTTCAAATATAAAATTATAGAGGAATTAATCAAAATAAAAAATTATTAAAAAAGAAAATATATTGTGGCTTCTTTTTTTTTAGAATAAAAAAAACCTATATTTTTAAAATTTTTTTTAAAATAAAAAATTTTAAGTAAACTATATATATATATATATATATATATATATATATATATAATTTCTTTCCGTAGAAAACCTTAAAATTTTTTTTTAATATTCTAACATGTATAACAATCAAATGACACAATATATGAACGTAAGTGAAAACTACAAAGTTATAAAAGATGTAGAAGACACTGATGATCGTACATACATGGATAAATCATTGTATGAATTATATGATAACGAGAATGTAAAATATCCATTTTTTATAGCTCCAAGGGTAGAAAATTAAAATAGTCTTTAATCTATTTATTTGAAAAAAATTAAGTTTTTTTTTTTTTTTTTTTTTTTTTTTTTTTATAGTATGACTATTACTTTACTTCAGAAGGTTATACAACTATATATAATACACCTATTATTAAAAAATCGAAAACTAAAAAATTGTTTGGATGCTGTTAAAAATGGGTATATCATTAAATATTTCCTCATTTTTATAAATAAACTTTATTTCTTTTATAAGATTTAAGGGAAGAAAGAAAATTTAATTATTTCACAATACTTATTTTTTTATATATATATAAAAGTTTTATAAAATTATATTTATCATTATCTTTTTAGATTTTTCTTTTTTTATAATTTTTATTATAGGAATAAAAGAAAAATTCCTTTTATTTTTATTTTTTTTTTTTTTTTTTGTTTCTATAACAATATTTTTTTATGAATTCAATACTTTTTTATAATGTATTTTTTTTTATATAGCAATGGTTGTGTAAAAAATAAATTTATATTATTTATAAATATCAATGTATATGTATTGTATAATTTAAAAAAAATCTTTTTATACTAGCATTTTTATTTGTGAGAAATTACTTTGTGAGTAAATTTTTTTTATTTATATTTTTTATTTAAAAGAAAAGAAAAAAATAAATTAAACAAATTACAAATGGAAAATTAGTAAATATATATATATAGTAGATACACATCTGGTAATTAACGTTTCTTACTTTTTTTTATCCTTGTTCAGATCATATTTTAAAAAAAAAAAAATTAATATAATTAGTTTTTTTTATATTTTTAACTCTTGATAAGTGTATTAATATAATAAATACTTAAGAAAAAAAACATTGACTTATTTTCAGTATATTTTAAATTGCTTATAATTAATTCCTTTAATATTATATTATTTAATTTTCCATGATTTCTCATATCATATAAAAAATATTTAGAATATTATTATATTTGGTTGAATACCTTTTGTATATTATAATATATTTTTTTTTTTATTAAAATATTAGACTTCATGTTTTGAAGCAACTCATGTTAGAGTGATACAAAAAATTAAAGGTATAAAATTGCTATTTTTTGTTATAATGGATGTTTTTATATATAAAATAGAAATAATGTAAAAGACGTATTTAAATGGAAAAAAAGAAGAATTTAAACATTACAATTTTTTTTTATTTTCATATTTTTTTTTTTTTTATCATGCTTACTTTATTTTATTTTACACTCTTGATATATCTTACAAATATATATATGCACTTTTTTAAAATATCCATTTTAAATTCATTTTTATTTTTTTCTTATTTTATTTATTTAAAAAAAATCATAAATTTTTAATTAAGTCAATCTTAGCTTAAATGTTAAATTTTTATTTACCTTATAAGCTTAAAATAAAAAATTTATGTAATACTAATTTTTTTTTTTTTTTTCAATTAAAAACGTTAACTTATTCTAAAAATGGAAAATGGGTTATCATTATAAGTAGATAATGAGCTATTGACATTTATTGAAATATATTCTATATAAAATACATGTAAATAAAAAAAAAAAAAAGGATGTTATTACTCATATTAAATATATAAATTGTTATATATATGAAAAATGAAAAATAAACTGAATAATTTATTAATAATTATGTATGAAAACTAAACTTATAAGAACTCAAATTTTATTCTATAAGGAAGATATTATGTAATATTTTTCAAACTAATGTATATAATATATTTCATTACTTTTAATTAAATTGTTAAGGAATATTTAAAGAAATTTTTATCTATTACAGTATTTAGTGATTACGTATTTTAATTTATTAATGAACATAGTCTTATAAGAATATTTTTATAAAATATTTCAAAAATAACTTAATATTTATAAGAAAAATATATTTTTAAGAAAAATCAAATATAAAAATAGGGAAATTATTATATTTTTTTTTATATAAATAATTTGAAAGTTCTTATGAGTTTTATGACTAGATATTAAATTTTAATATATAATAAAAAGTATATCAACCATTAATTTTTAATATTTTTAAAATAAATAAAGAGAAAAAATTGTATTAACACAATATTATTTTTTATATTCCTATAAAATTTTTAAAAATATATATGTACTCTTATGTGTATATCTTTGTAACTCCAAAACTATAAACATAGTTTTATGAAAAAAAGAATAAATATATATTTATATTATTCTACTGTGTATGTTCTTTACTTTTTTTTATATTGTTATTCTTAATTTTTTAAATATGAATGAATTACAATGGATGCTTTAAATACTTTCTTTGTCTTTAAATTTCAAAAGTAACCAAAAAAAAAAATTAAAATAAAACAGCTATTTTTAAGTACTAAAAAAAAATTTTTTTTCTTCTATAGGAATTAAAAAAATGGCTATCATAGACATAATATCTTTGAAAAATTACATATACTTATTGTAACCAAATGAAATATTTATTTTAAATTTTGATAAAAAAAAAAAAAAAAAAAAAAAAAAAAAAAAAAAAAATTTTGGTTGTAAAATTTGGTTACTTAGTATTATGCTATATAGTTAGCTATATTTTAACAAAATAAAAAAAAAATTTGAATTTTTAAAATCAATTTTAAATTAATTTATTTTAAATAAAAATAAATTTTAATATTTTTGAATAAATTAATTTTTTTATTTTTCTTTTTTATATTTCTTTTTTATATTTCTTTATTTTATATTTCTGATATATAGTCTTGAATATTAAATAGTTTTTTTAAAAATTTTTTATGTGTTACTCTTAAATTTGTTTACAAGTTTCACCATTTGTTTTTATTTTTATCTACCTTAATATATTTCCCATTTAACAATACTTATATAATTTTGAACATAAACGAAAATTTTTTAAATTTTATAGTAAATTAAAAAAAAAGAAAAAATGAAAGATATAAAGATGATATCATATTTGATGCTATTATTATCATTTTTTGCCATATCTACATATGAAAAATTGAACGTTATATCACATAGTTCTGTTTCAAGACTTAATGATGAAAAACGTAATGAAAAAGTTATAACATGTGTTGTTGAATATATAATTAGAGGTGACATGGAAATTGATGATAATTTATTCTGTGAAAATGAAACATCATGCTCACCATCCAGCTCAGAAGCAAGTGGGAGTGGAGATTACTGTGATAATTATTATGATATAACATTGATTGTAGAGGAATCAAATTTTGTTCAAAAAGATTACTGGATAAAAGGAACAATACCATTTTTAGAATCAATGATAAGAAATGTAAGAGTCAGTAAGGATAAAGCTCATATGTCTATTATACTTTTTGATCGTGATCAGAGATTATTAGTCCCATTTACTGATGAAATTAGTCAAGACAAACAAAAGTTAATAGAAAAGGTTAAAGGAATAAATGACGTAGCAAGAGGTCCAGATACATTATATGTTTATGCATTAGAATATGCATTGGAAAATGTTATATTTGGAGATGGAACTAGAAGTGATGCTCCAAAGGTAGCAGTATTATTTTATTATGGATATGATTACGGAGCAAATAAAAGTTTAATACCTGATATAGTTGAAGATTACAAAGAAAATAATATAAAACTTATAATAGTAGGAATTGGATTAGGTAATAAGGATAATGCATATTTACTTGCAGATTGTTCTATTGATGATAACAATTGTGCTAACGTAATATTTAAACCATGGGATTTTGTAATACCAGCGGCAGAACAAGTGAAAGAAAGAATATGCAATAAAAACAAGTCAAAAGGTAAATCTTCTATGATTCAAAAAGTAGTGTATAAATAAAATGGGAATTACAAAGCATAAGAATTAAGATAACATATATATATATATGAAGGAAATAAGACACAAGACAAATCAAATGTACTAATTATTATAATACACATTAATAAATTATTAGTTTTTTTTTTTTTTTTTTTCTTTTATAAATAATAACAAATACCATTTATTATTAGTAGAAAAAAAAAAGAATAACGTTGTAATTGACAAATTAAGAATATATTCATTTATAATTTTTTTTAAATATATTTATTGGTTAAATTTTTCTTATTTTTTTTATAAAAAATTTTTTACTATCTTATATTTTATTGTTTTTAGTAGTATTTTAATCTTTTTTATTTTTTTTTTGTATTTTTTTTTTTTATGTTTTTATGAAATAAATATAACTAACCTTGTCAAATGAATGAAAAATTTAGAATTTTTTAAACAATTGGCATTAACATATAGTTTTAGAATTTTAGGAATATGTAATTTTCTTTTTTTTTTTTTTTTTCTTTTATTATATTAATTGAGTTTTACACTTGTACACTAACTTAATATTAGCTAATGTTATAAAAATTCATATAAAACATACTTGTTAAATTCTCAAAACGTTTCTTAAAATTAAATAAAATAAAATTTATTTTTATCACGGTTTTAATTTATATTTAGTTATTTTATATACAAAGTTTGATTAAGGAATAAAAATAACTAATCTTATTTTTTTTTACTTTTTTTTGCATTAAAATAAATGATATAATAATTTTAAGCATTTTAAATAAATTATATAAGATATGTTTTCGAATAATTACATTTTAACACATAAAGTAAAAAGAATTGTAATTTTAATATTTCAGTTAATTTATATCAATTTAAAATTATTTAAAAAAATTTATGTCTTATATATTAAAATGTATTCAAAACTAAATGTATTTATGACTTGGATCCTTTAATTAACATGAGCTTATTTAATGAAAATTTAATAAATTTCTAGATTTTTTTCTATTTGAAACTGAAATAAAAAAAAAAATTGTTATTAAATTATTTTGGGTAAATATATATAATTATAGAATTTTAATGTGTATAATGCTTAAACATAATTTTATTTTTAATTATAATATATAAATAATTTAAATGACATTCTAAATTAATTTACATACAAAAAAAAAAAAAAAAAAACAAAAAAAAACAAAAATATTTCTTAAACATAAAGATAATATTTTTCATTAATTTTTGCTTAAGTAAATATAAAAATATGTTCGGAAATTTGTTTTTTATATGGATGTTTATTTATAAATTATTTACTTTGGACAAAATTTTAAAACACTGTTGAACAGTTTACTCTTTTATGTATTTCCTATAGATTTTTGTCATGAATGATTTTAATATATCATGAAACAGTTTCATAATATTTTTCCCTAATTTAAATTTGTATCTATATTTTTTTTTTTTTTTTCAAATTGAATTACCCCACTTTTTAAATACAATATTTTAAAATTCATTTGCATTTATTAAAAATAAAGATTTTTCTTAAATATCTGTGTTATAATAAACATTTTTATATTAACATAAATAAAATTATGACAAAAAAATGTTTTTTTTTACGCAAATATTTCATAAATTAATATTTTCAAAAAATAAAGAAAATATTTGTGAATATTCTATTTATAATGTTATTTTTCCCATTTTTGTAAATTCATATTTTCTTTACCGTGAATTAAAAAGTGTTCATGTTTTAAGAATAAATTTTTTAAAAATGTCTCTCAATATTTTTTATGTATAATTTTATAAATTATATATCTTTAACTTAAATATAACATAATGAAAATTATTGAATTTACTTTTTTTTATTTTTATTTAGCTTTATATTATGATAATTCTTAAATGTAATGTTTCTCTAATTTATTATACGATAAATTTATAAAAGTCCAGAAAAAAAAAAAAAAAAATATTTGAAGATTAAACTTTTAAAACAAAATTTTTTTCGAATTGAAAATATATATATTTTTTTTTTTTTTTTTTTTTTCATAAAATATCTTTATAATGTGAATGATTTTTGTTTCTTTGTTTATCTTTATTTTGAAAATAATATAAAATATGGAAAGATATAAAAAGATATAAGAAATTTACACAAAAAAAAGAAAAAAAAAAATTCCTTCGTGTTAGTTTTTTTTCAATTTTACAATTTTATATTAAAATTTTTTTTTTGTAGTGCTGTAGTTTATCACTTATGCATAAGGTTTTTACATTTCCGTCATTTCATTTTATTTTATATTTAATTTTACTTTTAAGTTTTGTAAAAAATTTCAAATTGCATATAATATAAAATTTTTTATTTTTATTTATTATAAAAAGATATTATTTTGTAGAATAGTGTATACATTTCATTTTTTTAAGAGAATAGAATTAAAGTTATAATTCTATTAAAAATAAGAAAAAATGTTAACTATAAAAAAGAAAAATTATTTGTGTAATTTAATTTTTAACATCAATAGGAAAAGATAATATATTTAATTGAAAATATAAATTAATGGATAACTTTTTTAAAACAAGAAATTACAAAAAAAAAAAAAAAAAAAAAAGAGATAAAATTAGAATAAATGGAATAGAATAAAAGATTTTAATATAATTTTCCATTACATTTCTTTTATTATAAAGGTGACATAATTTTACAATTCTATATTATATTATGAGGTTTATTAGGGTATTTTCTGTTCATTTTTTCAATAATAAAAATATTATCATTTATATTTTAAACTAGTTTTATTGTTTGAAAATAATTTATGAAATAACAAAAATTAACAAAAGCAAAAAAAAAAAAAAAAAGAGTTATAGAATAAATTAGGCTTTATCTTTTTTAAGGATTTTTTCAAAAATAAATTTTATTTTTGATTTTTGCCAATTAAAAACTTATAATTAATTTTTAAGAATTTATGTATGTATATGAATATATATAATTGTTTGATTAACACAATTCGAGTTTATATATTTTTTTGCAGAAATTATTTTTTATTGTTTATATAGATTTTTTTAATTATTAAAAGTTATAGTTGTATAATGAGCATAAATAATTATGTATTATATTTATTGATATTTTCACTATCTAAACATATAATTAAACAAATTTTTTTTTTTTTTTTAAATTATGAATAGTGTATAATTTCAACAAAATAAAGATGTTTAACACAGAATATTTTTTTTATTTTCTTGTATGAATTTTATAAGAATGTTAATACTAAATAGTAAGAAATGTCATGTATGATCTTGTAGTTTTATATGTAGAGTTCATTGCATATTTTTATAATTAAAAATTGAACATTTTACATAATACGAAGAATTGTCTTTTGTTATTTATCCATTTACAAAATCTTATTATTACAATATGAAACATTTGTTTATGATGTGCTTAAAAAATTTTATGTAAACATAATTAACTCTTATAGAAATCAAGTATTAAATATAATGTATTAAATTATTTTCCATAAATTAATTATTTATATAATATTTCGTCATATTCATTATTTTATTAAGAGAAAATTTTTTTTAAATGTTATTTAAATATATGTATTTTTAATTAATTATATAAAATTTATATTTAATATAATTCTTTCATATTAATAATTTAAGTTTTTAAAATCATATAGTAATTTCAGAAAAATTAGTTTGATAAATTAAAAAAATAACAATAAAGTTCATATTTATATATTTTAATTGCACACACATAAATGTCTTAAACGAAAAGTAAATAAATTTAAATATATGGTTTTGTTAACATAAATATTCTATATTGATTTTAATAATAAAGCTTAAAGGAAGCTCTAAAAATAATAAATTTAAATAAATATTTTAATGATATTTCAAAAGTTTGCGAATATTTTTTCATTATTTTATAATTTTGTTACAAGTAAAAGTACAAATTCTATTATATTTTTATTATAGTTTAAAAAATGAAATTTCCATATAGAATCTAATATAAAATAAGAATAATTTTTTGTTATGATATGGATGAGTTATTTATATTATCTCTTTTATTTTATTTTTTTTTTTTCCTGTGAGTTTTTATAATATTAAATATTACTTTTTTTTAAAAATCATGAACAAATAGAAGAATATATACATGTACTTTTTATATAGATCTGACAAATATTAATGTAAAAAAAAAAAAAAAAAAAAAAAATTTTTTTTGAATATTCTTAAATAATGGGAAAATACACAAAATCTAAAATATGTAGAAATTAAATAAAAAAAAATATGAAAGATTAAAAATAAAATATAAAGTTTAAATTATATATGTTTTAACATAGCGAATTATTTGTTAATCATTAGATATATGTTAGGCATTTCATAGGATGAATAAATTTTGTTGAAAGTGGTTTTTATATATATTATGATTTTATAGCTTATAATTTACCTCTAAACTTAAATAAATGTCAAAAATAATTCAATATCAATGTAATGATAAAATGAATATGACATGTAATAACTTACAATACTAAACTATTATTTTATGAGATGCAAAACAAAAGATTTATATCAAAAAATAAAAATTTTAAATACATAAATTATATTAAAATTGTAGTAAAAGGAAGTTTATATATAAAAAATTAGTGATTCATATAACAAATTTTCTTTTAAGGTATATGGAAATTATTGTAATATAATCAAGGCATTAATTAATAAAAATTAAAAGTACATTTAATTACAAAAGTTTATTCTAAGTATACACTTTTATTATTTATATTTTAACAATTTTAGTTTACAACAGTATTATTTTTTTATGACAGCTTTAAATTTATATTACAATATAGGAATAGTAGGCATGGAGAAAAGAGTATCTTTTATAGTTTCTTTGATATTACTGGAAACTTTAATTTTATTAAGAAGAATTAATAAATCAATGTTAGAAATCAAAAATACAAAACTCTATTTAAACAAATTATATACAAAAATAAAATATAATTTCATGTTTAATAATACTTTTTGAATTAATTATATTATTAGAAATATATAAAACTTTATATTATGTA